TAAAAAAAAAAAAAAAAAAAAAGAAAAAAAAAAGCCCCCCCTATTAATTATTATTTATTATTTATTATTATTATTATTATTATTTATATTATATCCTTATTAATGCATGCATGCATGCATGCACTTACCTTGCTGCAATCTTTTTATCTCTGTCTCTATTGGTGTTTGTCTTTGTATAACTTTTTTATATAATAAATAATAATTTTGTGCCTTTGTTTGCCAACCTAATACTGCATGCATGCATGCATATAAATAAATAAATAAATAAATAAATAAATAAATAAATAAATAAATAAATAAATTATATATACAACCTTATTATATACTAGTTAATAACAGTACTAGGAGGAGAATATATTTATTTGTTGATGTAGGGGATCGGGATCGGGATCGTGTGGGATCGTGTGGGATCGAGTGTGGGGTCCTGGGATCGGGATCGGGGATCGGGGATCGGGGATCGGGATCGTACTTTCTGCCTTAAGTGCTGCCCTCTCTGTGACGGTAAGAGGAGACACCTCAATGTGTCTCCTTTCTAGGGACAATGCCTCCTCATCTCTTAATTGCTGTCTCCCTTTCTGCTCCCTGTAGCAGCAGCAGCAGCAGCAGCAGCAAAATAAATAAATGAATAAATAAATATGTGCAAATAATAATTAGTGTCTCCTTTTATATACAACCGCATGCATGCATGCATGCATGCATGCATGCATGCATATTTAGGGTTTAGGGTTTTAGGGTTTAGGGTTTAGGGTTTATAACATACAATGCCTCTTGTGATCCTGTTGTTCTATAAGGAGACTGAAACAGAGCCTCAGCAGCAGCAGCAGCAGCAGCAGCAGCAGCAGAAGCAGCAGAAGTGTCTCCTTTCTGCAGCAGCTTCGCCATTACCCTCCCTCGGGGGCCACTCTCCTCTTGGGGGCCCCTCTCATCTAGGGGGCCCCTCTCATCTAGGGGGCCCCTCTCATCTAGGGGGCCCCTGCTTCCTTTATTGCTGTCTCTTATATCATCTGCTGCAGCAGCACAAGACATAATGTGTGGTGTATAGGCAGCTCGTTGCATGCAGACAAACCCTAAACCCTAAACCCTAAACCCTAATAATCACCTTAAAACCCTAAACAAACTAAGTAAGCAGCTAGATTGTCTTTGTTGCTGCTGCTGCTACTGCTGCTGCTGCTGCTGCTGTGGGGTGTCTCCTCACCTTTACAGGGGGTTGGGGGGCGGAGAGCGAGACGAGCCCCTACTGGGGTGTATAGGCAGGTATTAGGTGTCTCCTTTATTGGGGTGTATAGGCAGCTCACATCCTGAGGTGTATACGCAGCACATACACAGCAGCAAATAGATATAATAATGACGCTGCTGCTGCTGCTGCTGCTGCTGCAGTTTCACGTGCTGCTGTTGCTGCTACAGCAGCAGCAGGAAATAAGAAAGGCGTACCTCCTTGTTGCTGTTAGGGGGGGGGCCCCTAGGGGAGAGACTAAGGGCCCTCCTTGCTGCAGGTACACCTGAAGGAGACAGTTTGCTGCTAATAGGTCTTAATCGGGTGCAGCTAGGCCATTTGCTGCTGCTGCTGCTGCTGCTGATGTTGTTGTTGCTGCTGCTGCTGCGTACTTGCGACGGATATACAAAGGGACTAGTTTGTATATGTTGCTGCTCTTCTTCTTCTTTTGCTGCTGCAGCAGCAGCAGCAGCTGCTGCTGCTGCGTCTCTACGCAACGCAGCCCTGGATGCGCTGTGTCTCCCTAAAGGCTGCTGCTGCTGCTGCTGCTGCTGCTGCTGCTGTTGCTGCATAAAAGAAGGAGACAGTCCCCTTTTATTATAATTATAATTATTATTATGCATGCGCATAGAGGGACGAAGTGTCTCCTCTTGTCCCCGTAAGGAAGGAGACACCTTACCCTCCCTGTCTCCTTCTCTCCCTTTATACCAATAAAAAGAAGAATTATTTAGTGCTAGCTGGTTATACACCCGGCGCTTCTCATAAGAGGAGCTCAGGGGGGTACTGCTCCTTAAAGGGGCCCCAATTTGGGGGCCCTGGGGCCCCTGGGGCCCCCAGGGACCCCCTGGACCTCCCACCGACCCTGGTACACCAGGGGCCCCCAGGGACCCAGGGGGCCCCAGGGGACCTAAGGACCCTATGCCCTCCATTATAAACCCTAAACCCTAAACCCTAGAGGGAAAGATACGGAGGAGGAGAGATGCTGCCTATACACCACAGCAGCAGCAGCAACAGCAGCAGCAGCAGCAGCAGCAGCAGCAGCAGCAGCAATGAGCGATCACCTGGGGGCCCTCTCCCCCCTCCCTCCTTTTCCTCCTTGCTGCTGTATAAGGAGACAAATACACCAATAGATAAATAAAGGAATAAAAAGAAATAAAATAAATAATAAAATATAAATAAAAGGAAAAGAAGAAGAGAAGAAAGAAGAAAAAAGGAGAAAGAAAAGAAGGAGAGGAGGGAGGGAGAGGGGAGGGTAATAAGTATATATATATATATATATTATAAGGA